CACTTATTTTGCCTTCAGCATTCCTATATTTATCCCTTGTTTATTGTTTTGATTAATTGAATTATTAGGATTATTATACTGTCAGACAGATATTGTCTACAGATAATTACTATGGCAGTTTGCCAGTAATCTTGTGGTCACCGTGTCTCATCTCTCCTTGAATATGAAACTCTCAATGGAGAAGGAAGTGGGTTAAAAATAAACTTTGTACAACAGCAATCATTACAAAGTCAACGTTCTTCATCCTTTTATGCACAGCAGTACCCAGTAGTCTGTTTTCCTTTCATGTTCTAGAAACTGCTGGAAGATGCAGGCCTTTTAAACAGCAGCCCAACAACATTCCAATCAAAGAACCACACGGCCAATTTGAGGACAGGAATTTAACTTCAAGAAAAAGAAAAGAAAAGAAAGGAAAAGAAAATAGTAAAGTAGAGTAAAGTAAAGTAAAAGTCTACTGGGAGATTACTTGGCCTCAAAGACAAAGTTGTGAGCTCTCTCATATACTCCCCCTCACGACAGTTAAAAGAGGAAAGTTCCACACTAAATGTCATCCATTATGCTACACATAAAAACCACCCCTTGGTGTTGTGGTCACTATAGACATATTCAAGGTATTCAATTGCCTGGAATGATGATGTTATTAAAAGTGCTACAACACAATCAAATGGGCAACAAATTCATCTACGCCATATTGAAACTGCCAATTCTTCCTTGGTTCACACTAATTTCACCTCAACCACCATTGATAGGGGTACTAAACAAGGATGACCGTTACCACATTTGTTCTTCATCCTCTCCTTGGTAAAATTTCCACCTATTCCAAGGTGAATTCTTTACATCAAAGTGCAGTAAAAAGAACTGTAATACTTGTCAGGTTCTCACAGTGGAGGGAAGTAGAGTGCATGTGTCCAGCAGAGCCTGCACCCAATCTCAGGACCCTAAATGGCTGGCAGCCTGGTTACACAGAAGGTATGGTCACATGGGAGGAGATAACTATCATCCCACCGCCATCACTAAAAGCCCGGCAGATGGCAACGGGAAAGACTTACTGTGATGAACCAAAGTTAAACTGTTCTGGAAGCTTTGCTAATGCCATCTTGGTAGTCAAGATAACCCCACAATTAACTGGTAGCTGCTGTAGCAATGAGCTCATATATGTTTATATTCACTTGATTTGATATATGCTAATTAGCATGCTTTGATGTTATCCTTATCTGTGGTCTTGGAGCGCTGTGCTCCGAGCCCAGAAAGAGGAACTACCTGTAAGCCTTGGGTATTTGCCACCTGTACCCTCATCTGGGCAGGTGAAGTAATGGGAAGTCCTAAGTGGTGTACGCTGCTTTGTGTATAAAGAATGTATTCACATTTGCTTGGGTGCGGACAAGCTATCTTCTTGCCATGGTGTCCATCCCATGTCCCACGGAGAACTGGCAGGCTGCTTTGCTGAAGGTCTATACCTTTCTTAATAAAGCACTAGAACAGATCATTCTGGCATTTTCGGCATCCTTCTTCGGTATACTTGCACCCAACCACTACTATGTGCCCTCCTCTGGGTCGGTGGTTTGGAACACTTGCCTTCCAGTTGTGCAAAGCCTGGCTGGTGCTATCCTTTTATTCTGGTTCCATGTGAAGACTTTGTGACGTTAAGATATGAGAGTGCTGGAGATCAAATAGTTAAACAGGTTATCCAATCAGAACCCAGGGGGGTGGAGTCAGAGGGACTATAAAACCAGCTCTTCGTTGGGAGTTGGGTGGTTGGTTGGAGTGGGAGTGAATTTGGATAGAGTCTGTGGCTAGGTTGAATTAGTGTAGCGAAATAAGTTGAGTCAGGAACAGTCAGGGGCTAGGAAGACAAGTAAATATCTGAGAGGTGGTTTAGTGAGGGAGAGCAGGTAGCGGAAGTTATAGATCTGGATAGGCACCCCATGAATGTAGTTGACCGATACCGTTTATGGAACCAGATGCTTGTTAAACTGCAATAAAAAAACAGAAGTTTATGTTCCAATTTAACCCTGACTGGACTCCGTATTGTACCAGGTAGGGCCTGGGTGGTGGCAGCGAGAAATAAAGTGGTGGCACAGGGATCAATAGACAGTGAAACGCCCGGGGGCCCTGTGTGATCGCCACAGACTTCATTTGCCCAGGTCTCAGATTTATAAGTATTTATTGAAATTTAAAGGCTGGAATTTTATTTGCCTTGCCGTATGATTGTTTTATTGTTGTGCAATTTTACTGTCATCCTGTCTTGTTTTTAATCCTGTGCAAGCCGCTCTAAAAGGATGTGCAGAAGGTGCTCGGATTGGTCAGGACAACACTTGCGCTCTAGACCCTTGCCTCTCTTGGCTGATAAAAACCAGCAAGGAGGGAACAGCGGGCTGGACCAGGGAGGTGATCAATGCCTCTTTATGAGAGAGGGTGGTCCCTGCCTGTTTGAAGGAGGCAATGGCAAAACCACTCCCTGTTTAGGGAAACTATTAATGTTCGATGCATTGCTTTATTTTAATATTGTGTTGGAAGCCGCCCAGAGTGGCTGGGGAAACCCAGCCACATGGGCGGGGTATAAATAATAAATTATTATTATTGTTATTTCCTGGATTCAGAAAGCCTAACTAACTACTGGCCAGTTACTAATTTCCCTTTCCTGAGCAAGGTTTTGGATATACAGTGGTACCTCGGGTTACGCTTCAGGTTACAGACTGCTAACCCAGAAATAGTACCTCAGGTTAAGTACTTTGCTTCAGGATGAGAACAGAAATTGTGCTCCGGTGGCGCGGCAGCAGCGGGAGGCCCTATTAGCTAAAGTGGTGCTTCAGGTTAAGAACAGTTTCAGGTTAAGAACGGACCTCTGGAATGAATTAAGTACTTAACCTGAGGTACCACTGTATATAGATGATAGTCATTGGCTGAACAGCAGCAAGAAAGTGACCTAAACAAAGAGGCCTACTAAGATGGACCAGCACTCATGCTTCTCATAGCTCCAAGGTCAGATATCCTAGATGGCTCATCAAGAATAAGTTATCACAGGGGGAACACTTTTTTTTTAACGGTTCTTTAAAGCTGTGTACACATTACCGTTTATTCTGGCTCCAGTGCACTCCCATTGCTGGTGCTTAAAGCTGTGCACACATGATGCCAGTTACAATCCATATCTATCTTGTGGCGCCTTGAGAAATACTGCTGTTTGACGTGATTTCCACTCAAGGCATCTTCCAAATGTGGCTTGAAACACAGGAGGTGGGAATAACCTTGCTGTATTTTAAGCTGCTGATGTGTACATAGCCTAAGCTATTTCTTCTGACGATCAAGTATATTCTGTTGGCCACAGGAACAGAACAAGAGCACTATGGAAATGGCCTTATTCAGAAGGTCACCCCATTCAGATGTTTTGTACTCTGCTTCAGATATTGTAATAAATGCATTCATATGGCAACAGCTATGGAGGGAACGCACCTGCAGAAATTCCTATTTTTATCTTATAGTAACATATGAAGAGCAAACAATTTATTTATTTATTTGATTTGTATGTCACCATTCAGCCAAAGATCGTAAGGTGGTTCACCCAAAAACACACACACACAAAAGATAACAAAATACAAAACAAAACAATCCAATAACCCCCTTCCCACACAAGGCCACAAAATGTTTAATCAGCCAAAGGCCTGGTTATAGTGGAACGTTTTCGCCTGGTGGCTCCGGAAGATATGTAATGAAGACTCCCCAGAGAGAGCATTCCACAAATAGGGAGCTACCACAGAAGGGCCCATTTCCATGTTGCTCCCCTACAGACCTCTTGAGGAGGGGGTAAACGAAGAAGGGCCTGAGGTGATGGTCACAGGGTCTGGGTCTGCTCATACGGGAAGAGGGTTTCTATGAAGTACTGTAGTCCTAATCTGTTTAAGGCTCTCAGGTTACAGACTCCGCTAACCCAGAAATAGTACCTCAGGTTAACAACTCTACCTCAGGATGAGAACAGAAATTGTGCGGCGGCAGAGGGAAGCCCAATTAGCTAAAGTGGTACCTCAGGTTAAGAACAGTTTCAGGTTAAGAACGGACCTCCAGAACGAATTAAGTTCTTAACCCAAGGTACCACTGTATAGGTCAAAACCAGCGCTTTGCATTGGGCCTGGAAATGGCAACCAATGAAGTTGGGCCAGGATCAGTATATTATGCTCAAATTGCCTTGCCCCAGTGAGCAACATGACTGCCACATTCTGCACCAGATGAAATTTCTGAACTGTCTTCAGAGGCAGGACCCTCATCTCATGGCCTGAGTGAGAAAAATATTTTATAGCCACATGTATGTGCCTTTTATAAAAACTGGCACATTACACCCTTGCCCTACAAACATAACCTCTAATACAGTCTTATGGATATTTTCTTGCAGGGAAAGGTTATGACAATGATGTTATTAAAAGCATGAAATACACTGGGACAAGTATGAGACTTTTACATGCTACAGAATCAACTACCACACAAGTGTAATCACTACCTCTGATTCTAGATCAATTGAGTCAGCCATGTCACCATATTTGCAGAAAGATTTTTACGTTTCCCCTCTAAAAATTTAAAATGATTAAAAGTCATTTCTCACAGCATTTTGCTAGCCTGAGCCTTTGATGCTCATCAATCTTCAAAATCCCTTCCAAAAACCGATCCCCTCCTATTAAAAGCAGGATGTGCTTCTAAGCAATTGGCAAAATTAATCAGTTGGTTGAGTTACCAAGACAAAAGAAGGGGGGGCTAAATTAAAGCAAATTTAGGCCTCACCTGCCACATATCCTTTGGCATTAGCCCACATTATATTCTCAGTCTCTATCAAATGGGGTATTGATTTTTGTTTTTCTTTTTTCTTTCCAAAGCACATATTGTAAAAACTGATTTTTTTGCCAGATGGAACAAAGCTGGAGACAGAAACAGCTTCATCAGTACAACATGCATGTTACAAAGACAGAGCTCAAAGCTTGGGCTAAAAGATGAAGGATATGAAAGAGCCAATTTCTTTTACATCAATCAATTATCAACATGATACTCAGTTGTAGGACTTCAAAAGGAAGAGATTTTCCCATTTAGTTACAGCGGGGGTGGAGTTGGGAGGATGCTTGACAAGTAAGTTCTTTTCTTCAGTCTTTATAAAAAGTGCATGCTGCGTTTATGTTCTCCATCGGTGCCATTCTAAAGGCGAGAATCATTGCAGATATTTGACATCTGCTAACTTGGAGCCCTTTTCCATGAACCACACCCCCTCCCCAAATGCATACCATCTGCACTTTTTTTCTTTTTGGCTTAGTACTGGGTTTGTTCCCATTTTGATTATATGAAACAAACCAGGCTCACCAAACAATGGCTTCATGAAAATTTAGTGGGGAAGATGTCCAGACTATTTGCTTCACAGATAATTTTAATCAGCTGGAAGCAGCCTGGTAGATCTCAAGTCTCAGGTAGATGCAATTGCTAATAAGTCTCACAAGGCTGTAACACCACACGCAGACAGACAGACAGACAGACAGACAGACAGACACACACACACACACACTGCTCCCATGAGTTTAATCTATTCTTAACATATGAAGTATCTGCTAGTGAATCTCTTGAACATCACCAAGATCTTAAACACAACTCCTCCAATCTGAAATGTATGACTGCCATCTAATTCCCCCCCCCTCCACCTCCATTCTAGTGACAGCAGCAAATAAACAACCCTTCCGAAGATGTAAAATTAGAACCAGGATCATCCTCTCTACAGTTCCTCTAGGTCAGATCTCATTTCATCCTCCCTTCCCAAAGCTGAAGGTGCTTAAATTCAGAATAGCAAGGCTCCCTGCTGGAGTTGCACAGGCAGCCTAACAGGTGTGCAAGCTTTCCGCTGCAGGCATCTAGCTATGAAGCCTGATCTTGTGGCTGCTGGAGTCCAAGCAGCGTAGGCGAGAGCACAAAATGCAAGAGAATACATAACACACAGGCTTGCTGTTGCTTTTAGACACAAAAGCCCAAAGGCTGAACTCAAGACAGCAAATTTCCTAGCAAACTTATTCTTCTTTTCAAAACACAACTAGCTTGTTTTATGTTCTTGTTTGTCAGCACCATATTTGTAAGAGCACACGCTTTGCCTCTTTAAAGCATGAAAAGTTTTCAAAAATTAAAATGACTTGACAAAAATCTCTCCCCGATTGAGCCCCATTTCCCTTGCTATCCAATTCACAGGGAACAAAATAAGCCCAGTCCAAGATACCTTCTCGTTTCATAATAGCAGGGACATAGCTACGAAGGCCGTATCCTATTTTCCCTTCACAGAATCGTAGTCAATACTTCCATTTTCAAATATTCTTTATCTGAATGTGTAAACTAAATACCTGACTGGCTTTACGTCGTTCTGAAGACATCATGTGTTCTCACCCCAGAGGGCAGCATCTTTCTGTACCTTTCCTTTCCTCAAGACTTTGCATGATTAATAAATTGGACCCCAAAGGTTGGGAAAATAAAAGGCCACTCATGCAAGGATCTTCCCCACTTCATCTCACCCCTTTGCAAACCCTCTCAAGATACTTCTGGTCAATTTAGAGTACCACCCAATGCAGCCCCAACCATCAATGTAAAGCCCTCTTAACCCTAGAGTTGCTTTTCAGGAGGCAGAAAATAGATTTGTGCACGTAGCCTTCTCCTTGTGCAACATTTGAATCCAATCCTATGTTTGTATTTAAGTCAGGGGTTTTTAACGGAGAAGTATTAATCTATAAAAAGATGCTCCCGCAAAAACAGGGACAGTCTTGAACAGTTATGCATAAATAAACGTTTTAGACTAATTGAGGGGAAATGTTTTAATATTAGAACACTCTATAGAGAGAAAGATTAATAATATATATGTTCGTGAACTGATTTCGTTAAAAATGCTCAAAGCTACTTACCGTAAAACAACACAAAAATGAAACCACAACAAAGACCACTAGCATGCATGTCATTATTCCCTTCCCATTTTCCTTTTATAATTTGTAAAGGCCTATGTATATTGACAGCACTGAATAATGACAAACCGTAACACATTTACCCCTCAGTTAAAAAAAGCGAAAGCTTGCATAGTGTACACCTAGCCTTTCTGAAAACTACCAAAACACAGTCAAGCTCCAGATAGATAATCAAGACATTGAACAAACCTGCCTTAGGTAGTTACCAAGCACATTTCTCTACATTTCTTCTGTAGGGGTCTCAGCTGTCACTCTCCTTTGCCTTGATTTGAATTGCTGTTGACAGCATACCAGTAAAGACTTCAGTGATCAGGATCAAGTGTCTCCCAGCACTAGCAGAGGTATTTATACTGCCTCTGCAAGATATATAATATCTACAATGACTGCGAGTAGTTTGGGCGAATGCTCATGAACCATATATATATATGGATTTTGTCATAAATCCCTTAAGCATTATAGTTTTAGTTTTCATTTTTAAGTACAGGTAATTCTAATAATGATGGGGAACATCTCAGTTTGTCTTACAGAATTTTAAGAAAAAAGTTGTTATGACCTCTTGCTGCTCTGATGGTTTCAAATGTTCTACTCAATGGTGGGAGAGTCTCACCCTGCCCAAAAAAAAACACCCATTAAAGTCCCCCTGGTACCCAGGAAGTCAAAATTAGAAATGTTTATTTTCAAAATGCTACCAAATGTAGAACACTTATTTGGCCCTATCTGGAAGTTCAAAGAAGCATTATATTGCTCCTGCAACGTAATGACAAAGTTATTTGCACAGCTAATCATGTGTAATAACTACACAAAGTGCCCATGTAAACAAAATCACTGTTTTGGTAAAGTCACACCTTCCACTAATCAAGATCAGGGATAACTTCTTGCGTGCTAGCCAGATTTTTTAAAAGAGGATACAGTGGTGCCCCGCAAGACGAATGCCTCGCAAGACGAAAAACTCGCTAGACGAAAGGGTTTTCCGTTTTTTGAGTCGTTCCACAAGACGAATTTCCCTATGGGCTTGCTTCGCAAGACGAAACGAGTTCTTGCGAGTTCTTGCGAGTTTGTTTCCTTTTTCTTAAAGCCGCTAAGCCGTTAATAGCTGCTAAGCGCCGCTAATAGCCATGCTTCGCAAGACGAAAAAACCGCAAGACGAAGAGACTCGCGGAACGGATTAATTTCGTCTTGCGAGGCACCACTGTATTTTATTAATTTGTAGTAAAATTGATCAATTCCAACAAAACCTGCAGATTGTTACATGCTCATATCAAGAGCATGTAAAAAGAAGAATTGAGTTGGGATGCTGTCAAATAACTGAATCATTGATTACATCATCAAGGCTGCCACTATCTGTGACATAGCCAGCCAGATTCAACCCCAAACCAATCTTAATGTGATATTCAGTGGATATACCAAATTCTACAGGCTTGAAAATCATTCTCAGTGTAACTTGGAAAGAAAGAAAATGTCCATACATTTAGTATGTACAAGTATATCTTTATATGGAATGTCTGAATGCAAGTGCTGTAGAATGGCAAGACGTTTGTTACCTTCATTATGGGACTTGAACTTATGAGGTTGGTTTGTGCAGTAAAATACAGTCTGATCCCCGGAAGGCTGCCTGGAGCCCAGAGTAACCCTTAGGAATACAGAATAACTCCTGGCCATCCTTGATCCAGACTGCGCAACTTCCTTTGTCGCTGCAGCAGTACACACCAGAACGGGCACACTTGCATGGCTTTTGCAGAATCAAATGAGATTTGCCTCCTCTAAGCCTGTCAAACCCAAACAACTCCTGGCATGCAGACAACTGTATTGGCTTTCTCACAGCCCGATTTGTCAAAGTGCTTTACCAGAGCAAGTCTCAGTAAAGTCAACAAATCTTCCTCTATCAGTGCTGCATGAAGACTGCATTTTTAATATACTAAACTGAGCCTAAACAAACCACCCAACTGTGCATGGCTAGAAACTCAATAAATTGAGGGTAGGGTGGGGATAAGGACAAGGGAGTTTTGTTTCTCACCATAAAATGGAGATATAATTGTTCATGTCGTCGTTTCCTGAATTTGGGCATGCCAAAGCCTTTAGGTGACTTGCATGTAAAAAGCAATAAATGTGATTACCTATGATCATCCATAACCCAAGCCTCCTTTCACATAGCTATACTAAAAAGGTTACCCACCTAAAACTACAAGAACAAAGATTCCCCATCCCCACACCCTAAAAACCAGCCTCCTTGGTTTCAGGTATGGTTTTAGGAGGGAGACAAGCAGACCTGCTGCAGACCATGCCAGTCTGTAGCAGAGGTTAGGAAGTGACCCTGGGCAAATCATAGTCTTTAAGTCCAACCTGCCTCACAAGGTTGCTGTAAGGATAAAAGGGGAGGAAGAGCTCCCTGGAGGAAGCATGTCCTGAACCCCTGGCCTACCTGGCAGCAAAGTCAGTATGTCAAGTCCTCAGTCCAGGGTCAATCCACATGTCCAAAGTGAAGTACAGTCCTACAGAGATACTGGAACTGCCACACTGAGGCCGATCAACATGGGCAGTACAGCAGACACAACACCTCAGCTCTGTTGTCCTTTATACTTTTTGTGCTGATTGCAGCATCTGGGCTTGATGAGGCATGTGACCCTCACCTGCTCCAAGCCTACTCCAGCTGAAGAATCACACACCTTCTCCCAGAGCTAGTGAGCCCCACCTGGTCAACTACTAATGAGTCCAGCATTAGTAGCCTGCTTCAGCCTCCTAGAGTGCCTGGCCTGTTGCTCCCTACGCCTCAGAGCCCGCCATGTTCATAGAGACAGGGGCTCCTCTGGCTCTGGTAATGGGTCCTGCTGCTCTGGTTCCTGTGCACTGAACCCCTTCCCCTCATCATCCTCCGTCTCCCCACAAGTACTTCCTACACCAACTTCTCCTTCCCCAACCCCAATTTGCCCTGATGTGTCGCGGTCCTGGCTACACTCCTTCTTCCTCCCTGTTGTCCTGCCAGTTCATGACAAAAGATTGCTGGCTTGAAGATAATAGAATCATAGATCTGTAGAGTCAGAAGGGACCCCAAGGGTGATCTAGTCCAATGCCCTGCAATGCAGGAATCTTTTGCCCAACGTGGGGCTGGAACCCACACCCCTGAGATTAACAGTCCATCCAGCTATATACACGTGATAAATAAAGTATAATAAAATATTAAAACTGTCATCGGGATCTGGCACAGTTTGGAAGCCCCAGCCAGAGGAGGAGTAAGGAGAAAAGGCACCTAAGGATGCAGCTTCTCCCCCTTGCAACTTTACAAGTTGGAGGGGAGAAAGCAGATCTGCAGCTCTCCCTTCTACTTCTCTTGCAGGGAGCAGAGCCACATTGTGGAGGGGGACATACTTTGACCAGCTAAGTAGGAGGAGGTGGCAGCAGAGCTGGAGTTAAAGGGGCAGGACACAGCGCTGTCACTGAGAACCAGGTCCTTCCTCTGTAGATGAGACCAGACTAGAGATGGGAAGGCATGGAGGAAAATAAACCTGGAAAAATTGTGGGGGGACGGGACCCAGTTTTCTTCCGTTTTCCCCCAAAGCCATTTTTCCCCCCCTGGAAAAATGGGGGGGGGAGTGTGTGGAATATTCAAACTATATCAAACTGGGTTTTTTTCTCGTTTTTTTCTGGAAAAAATGGCTTTGGAGAAAAACAGGGCCCCCCAAAAAATTTTCCAGGTTCTTTCCAGGTCTTCCCGTCTCTAGACCAGACAGAACACAAGCTTGCACATGAGAAAGTTCTGTGAGTGAGCTTCCCCCGCCATGTCTTTAAAAGCTTTGCAAGAGGGGTGTGGCAACTGTGGCAACTGTAGCATCTTTGCTGCTACAGTTCAGTTGTGCATCTCGCCAATGCGCTCAACTAAGAGCCGCTGTCGTGTTTTGATACGAAAGCGTGACATTATCATACAGTTGACACAATCACGGTGATTAATGCAGGTTTCACACTGCTAGAAGGATTGGAATGAACTTCCAGCTTTACAGTTAATGGTGTTTGATCTGTTAGGGTTATTGACTCGTAGTGAGCATAGGAGAAAAGATTAAGAGAGTCTGGCTGACAGTTACACACACACACACACACACACACACACACCACTTAAGATTTGTATTAGCATACTGTACCAAGAATTCATTACTCTAAAATCATCAAGCTGAAGCCCAAACAGATGTCAAAATGCCAAAAAAATGAGTGTAGTTAAACACAAATCCTGGTTACCTGGATTAATGTCTAGGAGCCTGGTTAGCTCAGGTATTAGAAAAATGTCACTGGGCAATTAAAGTTTTAACTGATGGTTGCTGCGTGTGTATGTACACGCAGAAGCTAACAGCACATTTCCTACCTCCCACATTAAATAACTATTATAGTACAATAACCATTTAACTTTCAACTGAGTACCACAGAATTCTTTTGTGTGCTCATCCCCTGTGGGGAGAACACCCCATCCCTTCCTTACGTTAGTGTTCAGTAAACCTTTTCAGCTAAAAGAGGCAGCCGCCTGCTGTGCAAAAAGCAGAGCTTCCTTGGAAATGTTTGTCTTTCACCAGGAGACAACAAACCCACACCTCCCACTTGGGTATCACAGTTCACCAAGATGGAAGGAGGAGATCTCTTTTCCTCAATTTCTGACAACTGTGGAAACCAGTTTTGAATTGAAGGAGGCGGGGTGGGGGGAGGCTGATGGTTGGATTTCAGCATCTGGTAAATTGTGGTAACACTGCTCCCAAACCTTGAATTTACTGCCTACATGTCTTATTATAAAGCCAAAGACTTTGTGCTGTTGCAGTTATTTAAAAGTAACCATACTCAAATTGTGAATGAGTACACCAACAGATCTTAATGCTTTTAAACTGTTATGTACTGAGTTGAATAGGATCCAAAAGGCAGCAGTCTGATTGGTCCTAGAACAATAGGGTCCAGAACGTTTTGGTTATCATGGCTAATTGTTACATGATATCTGGCAGATACAAGTATTTGGCCAAAATAACAGAATTCAACACTCAAAAGAGAACAGACCAGATTACTGATCTAATCAGCAACCTCTGTATTTTAGTATATCGTTCTTAGTTCCCTTGTTACCAAGCTATAGGAGTCCTGAGATGTTATATAAAGATGTTACACATCTCATTTCCAACTAAATAAAGCTTAAAAGCAACGTTATTGGCAATTGCTATTAAGCCTTCAAAAATCATCCAGGCAATTATTTTCTTAATTAAAAACAAGTTTACGAGATTGGCTATCCCAAACTTTTTATATGAATGATTAAGCAGTGGGGGAAAGACTTTTTAAAGCAGATGGAGCATAGAGCTTTCCACACAATGTTTGGGTTGAAAAAGGAGAATTTTGGAAGCGAGCTTTTTAGACTTATTTTGTCACAAGTTATTTATACCAACTACTGACTGGAAGATTCGCCTTATGTTAGATGGCTCTCAACAACATGAGTCACTATTCAGTGCTACTGAAAAACATGATGTACCACTGTTCTCCTTCTGACTACTCTAGAGGATACCCAGCTTGTTGCCAAGCACAGTGTTAAATGTAGGTAAATCAATTTACATTTATAGCCTGCTACCCAAGGCTCAAAAGCAGGCAAGATTTCCTATGAGACTGGGCACAAGTTATTTCTGTGCTAGAGATGGGGAACTGGAACCGAGACAGAGATTTGACCCATGAGATGTTAAGTACAGATTTGGGATCTGAACAAGAGATTCAACACACAATGCAAACATGAGGCCTTGGAGCATTGATGTGGAACAGATTAAGAATTCCACCTAAAACTAGGGCTGAAATTTATGATGTCCAGATGCTGTTCTGTATAACACTCTGTAAGAAATCAGCTTCTGGAATCATCTGACAGAACCTGATGGTTCCCTGACCCCAAGGAGCATGCCTGGTTTTTATCACTGAAGAAATACTAGCAAATGCTGTTTTTAAGGACACTTGCAAACAAGGCAGCTGCTTGCACATGGCCAAAAAAAGGAGAAAAACACAGAGATGAGAACACAGATTTGCATATAATCAACTGCTCTTATCAAGTGTTTGGTATTGTTTTACATTGTTTAACTTGACCTTATTAGGGTTTCAATTACTACTATTTTCTGTTTCAATCAGTTTACTGGAAACTGCTCCAGGATTGCAATTTGATGAAGGGAAGTTTGGAAATGAGATAAACAAACACAAACTAATATATGTACAGATGCGGATTAATTTTGTTAAAAAATAAATTTCATTATAGGAAAAACGGATTCAAATATTATTATCTTTTTATCAAAATTAAAATGTTAATCTAAATAAAAACAGAGAAAAAATAAAAAATAGAGAATAGAAAAGGACAGAGAGAGAGAAGGGATAAAGGGGAGAACGGAAGCAAGAGAAAGAGAAAAAACATAGAAGTTAAGAAAATAAAGAACTTCTGATTCTTTGCCTGTCCTCGATATATAAACATTATCCAACTCAGCCACTCTTAATATAACACCCAATAAAACCACTTTCTATAAACCAACATTATCTTCAGTCCTCAAAACCAAATGTCATTAGTTCATTTTCTTTTTCACACAAAAAGTCTATGAGAGGTTTCCAATCTTCAGTAAATGTTAGCAATGACTTTCCTCTGATTAAACATGTCAATTTCACCCTCTCAGCTAAGTCCATTAATTTTAACAACCAATCCTCCATAGTTGGGAATGATGAGTCTTTCCATCTTTGTGCATATAAAAGTCTCACCACCACAATCGTATATTGGAACCAAGTTCCATAGTCCTTTTTCTAATTGTATATCCAGATAACCTAGAGTTTACCAGAGTGTAGACAACAGAAACTAGGCATTCCCTGTCCAGGCAGGGTTGTAGCTGATAGGAGGTGTTCTGCAACCACTAAGTTCACTTGTGCCTCCTCAGGCAGACATACAGCCAGACATACCCCCAAACCGTGCACCTGCTCCTTTAGCGGGATTGCAACCCCATTCAGAAGAGGTTGAACTAAACAGAAACAGTGCCCTGGTCTAATCTGGATTGAGCTTCAGTTTATTGGCTCTCATTATGGAAGCCTAACACTGGTCTGAAGTACAGGAGGAATTGAGTTCCATGTCCTAGGCATATTGATAACAACACACTCCAAATCCCTGGATGACACCACTCAGCAGCTTTATGTAGACGTTCAGCAGCATGGAGGATAAAACTGACCCCACATTGGAGGATCCAAGAATCTGAGCATCCTCTTCCAGGTTCCACCCTCTGGAGACAGCCATCCAAGTAAGACTGGGATTTACAGGAGTCAACTCCTAGGGGCTAAGATCTCTTCTACTCCCCTGAATAAAATATTTGAGGGGGCCACTCCCCTCAAAGTTGATGGGCATTGCCATTCAAATGGTGTGTGTGTGCCACATCTTGTGATTAATTATGTGGTACGGGGCTTACCTGCCCCCCCAATATGTTATTCAAGTTTTCACACTTGCTGGGACTACTCTGAAGCAGTACTACCCTAATTGCAGACCAGAATCCCCACTTTGTAAGCAGTTTTGCACTAAAATCATAGTCCACAATGCACCCTTTACAAGCCCAAGTATAGCAGTGTGGGTAAAAGGTGCCAATGAAGGACAATGTGTGGTAAAGTATATTATTTTCTTCTATATTTTCAGCATTTGATTTGAGGGTGGAGGAAGAAGAAAGAAGATGGTGGGCAGACTAGCCTGCATTGCTAAATGAGGAAGATGAAGAATTAAAAAGAATGCAACTCACATGCAACACTATATAGCAAGAAGATGTTTTTCTCCTTTAAAGAACTACGGAGTCCAATTTTTAAAAAGCTCAAAAATGCTCAGATGAAATTATTCTTTTACAAGCTCCTTATTTGGATGGCAGCCATATACATACATACATCAGAGTTACTCCTATTTATTTCTGAAACAGATAAATCAAGGAGGCACCTAGCTGATCTGCCACATGGTGCTAACAAAAGGAAGTAATTTGATGGAAACAAAGGCAGAAATATAACAGAATCTTTGCTCACAGCAACAGATTTGGTGTACATTTGGTTCTACATAAAAAGCAACTAACTCTTGCCTCATTTAACTGGTGACAACTCATCCATTCAGTGTTAAATTATTCTGCCACAGACAGCAAGAAGAATATATAGTGGACTTCTAAGTCTACTGAAAACCTAGAATCTTGCACAACTATTCTCAAAACAGAGCCCAAACCATGAAGATGGCAACTGTTTTACAGTAGCATAAACCCTTCATTTTAGCTCCTTCAAATGTTGATTCTGTATTAGAACTAGACAGGTCTTATCTTAGAATGCTATAAACATAAACATCACGAACTACATGCACTTTGCCAGTTCTACACTGATAAATTAAATATACAGCCAATCAACCATTTATTTTTTGATATTAAGAGGCAATTCCAATATTCAAATTTAGCTCTTGGAGATTTTCTCTTGGTAGGAATGTAAAAAGAAGTTCTGAGTAGGCTTATGACTAGGGAAGTGGAAGATTATAATCTCGCTAAGATCCTCCTACATAAATAATGCTGCCAAAAAGGGGGAGGGAAATCTGCCTCTTCCATTATAAAGAGAGTGTGTGTGTAGGAAGGTGCTAACGGGCTTAAGAAAGATTAAAATATTTGTGTATAAAGGATTTAAGAAGCTGCACACAGCACTTAATGGCGTTCATCACAGACTTTAACAGCCAATGCCTCCCTTTTTTAAAACAAGCTCTCTTAAGTAGCTGCTAAAGCTTAAGAACACACTATATATTTTTGCATCTAAAAGTTGAAATTTCACTCAAAGGAAGGTAAGGTAGATTTCTGAATTCAAAGCATTCAAAGGTAGGCAAAACCATTCAAGATTCATTATGAACACAATCTGTCCTCTCAGTAGCCTTCAACTCTTCCTCTCTTCAAACACTACATGAACACAGAAAGAGTGACTAAAAACAATTTACCTTTCAATAATTCATGTCTCCGCAGTCACGTCTAACTTTGCAACAAAGTTCATTCATAGTGCAAGTCTGATTTAGCCGATTCAAGCAGCATTTTAAACCCTCCTACAAAGAACTGCTGGTCAAAGGAGGTTGACAGGAAATACTGGAACATCTGTGTTTGTAGGGAAGCTTCCGAGGTGCATCATCGTGTGTCAGAACTGTTCCCAACCTCAAAAAGCTATGGCCAAAGAGACCCATCAACAGAAATCTCCCGCTGGCAAATTGCAACTGTTTTTGCAGAAGAAAATATTCTGATTTTTAATACATTCATGCTTATACAACCAAGTGGGTAGATGTGTGTGAATTTAGCATTCAAAGGGAGGGATGGATGGCACGAGCTGTCAAAAGGCAACCAGGTAAACCAATATTTCAAAAAGGCTAGACCAAAGGGTCCGCCTGCACTACAAAATGGCAGAAATTAAGGGGCAAATGATGAGAGTTGATAGGGAGTAGCTAAAGACTTAGCTGGATACAATCCTAAGTCATATTCAGACTAAGCCCACTGAACATCAATCAAGTCTATTATTTCAATGGGTCCACTCAAAGTATGACTTGCTTGGATATGGCCTGTATATTTAAAGAGATGGTATTCCAGAGTCACAGTGGTCCTCCCTCTGAAGGTGCATGTATTCACTCAGAGGTTCTGTGATACATCTTTGTCACTAGAGGGCCAAGCCAGGAATGCTTTTTACCACTTCCAGAGGGCACACTGGCTACAACCACAGTCAACCACTGGCAACAGCCTGACCACACTGGTTTACGCATTAGTAACCTCAAGGCTTGGCTACTGTGATGTGCTTTATGTGGGTCTGTCCTTGTCTGGGAGTGTGAACTAATGTAAAACACTAAGTGTGTGGTGTCTGTCTGTCAAGAGCTACATCTAAAAACAAGCACATCTTAATTGCGTGTTCTAAGGAACATGCAGTCATTAGGGTCAAGTAATGGCCTTGTAGGATCTGGTGTTACCACACTACTGAAATTAAGAGTTGGGTGGTGGAGACCTGATCAGTTTTCTCAATAGGCAACCCATGGGAAGCCTCATGAAAGAGCAGGGTATGGATATACCATATTTTTCTGTTTATAATATGCCCCCATGTATAAGACGCCCCCTATTTTGTGGGACTCCAATTTAAGAAAATGGGAGGGGAGAGATCTATCTGTGTATAAGGTGCCCCCAAATTTTGGACATTATTTTTTAGGGGGAAAACCTAGTCTTATACACGGAAAAATGTGGTAATTTAAAAATCAGTGGTACAGCATATATGTATGGTATGCAAATAATTCCACACTCAAATTCACACATCCTTGCTTTATGTTTTTAAGCTCAGGTAAAAGGGCTGAAATGAATCTCAACTCAAAGCCTTGAAGGGAGATAGGACTGCCTCACCAAGTCTGACTATAAGGCAGTTTCATATTTTCATAAAAATTGCTTTCCTTGGAAAAAAATGTTTGCTTTCCTTTGAAGGTTTTCATAACACACAATGCAGTGTTTACATATAAGAGTACAGAAAGTCACAGAGTACTGTTCCCACAAAAATTCCATTAATAGCTCAGTAAGGAAAGTGTCTGGTGTGTGGTGCTGAATATGTATAAGTTATTTCTAATCCCAAAACAAGACCAAAAGTTTCTGAAATAGCTCATGGGAATAATAGACTGTTTAGTAATACGAACAGAGTAAATCTCATTTCTGATCCCTTCTAGCTGAAGGCATAGTTCTCACTGCTACCTCAAAGTAATTCATGTTTTATTATTAACTTTTAGAATCTCAATTTGTTTTGTTTGTAATAACAGTTATTTTGATAGTTTGGGGAAAATCTCAACATTGTTGGGAAAGAGAGCACATGGGCACTCTGACCTTTAAAGCAATGCTCTTTTTGACATTACAATTTATTTTCTAGTGACATGAGATAATCTCTTTAGTTTCAGTTGGGGGGAGAAGGAGGGGGCAGTGTTCCAGTAAAAAGCGCACACTGATCAATAATGTTTTCTTAAAATATATTAGCTTTAATTGAAATCATTTTTCACCAGGAGTTTCAGGCTGCACACTAAAAGAAATACTGCAGAGTATTTCTATGAAAGTATGATCTGTCTTTTTTGAAGTAGCTTCAAAAAGCCTGTCAAATGTGTACAACAGTTGCTTGACAGCTCAAATAAAGGAAATGAAATAATCTATGGGCTAGTTCACACAACATTGATCCAGCCAAGGATAGTCTCCGAGTCACAGCAGACTGAGCCGAAGCTTCCCCCATAAAAACGTAATAGATGACTCAGGCACTCCATTTGAGACTTGGTTCACATGACACCTCCTCCTCTTTTGGGGAATCATAAGAGTTGGAAGGCATACTGCATCAGTCAAACAAGCAGGTATACGCACTGAATGTATGGATCACACATTGCCCGGCTTACGTATCTATGCACATGATCATCCCCTCAGTCAGGCAAGTTTAAACATAAGCAGCAGAGATTGTAAAGATCTATACAGTGGTACCTCGGGTTACATACGCTTCAGGTTACAGACTCCGCTAACCCAGAAATAGTGCTTCAGGTTAAGAACTTTGCTTCAGGATGAGAACAGAAATCATGCTCCGGTGGCACGGCAGCAGCAGGAGGTCCGATTTGTTGAATGGTTTCTTTAAATGTAAAGGTTCATCATTGTTCCACTCCATGTGTATGTCTTTAAGGGGCCAGAGCAAGGGCCAGAGCAAACTAACGAGACCCAGCTTTACAGCTGTGTAACATAGCAGGTGCTGCTGAGTTGTATTTGATTAAGGTGTGTCAGCATCTGAGTGTAGTATATAAGGAGCAGCACCTAGCTCTCCCATTACCCTGGGGGATGGGTTGGTGGTTGGGTCTGGTTTGTTGATGTATTTAGTGTTAATGGAGTTTTTGTTTTTCTTATTAAAACCTTCTTTAAGTTATTTTTGAGTCCTTTCTTTTTAATGCATGATCTCCCCAGCAAGCTCTCTGCAGCGTCACTATACTGCAAAAAGCCAACATCTTTGGTTATGGGCCCAGCTGCTGAGTGGATGACTGCATATTTTTGGACTCTGAGAAAGGTTTGAAAACTCCTTCTCCTGTTAGTGTAGTTTTTGTGGGTCTGGAAGAGTTCCAGAATGGTTGACCGGGTTCCTGAAGCTGAGAAGGCTCTGGTCTTCCCACAGCTAACAGATGAGAACTATAGTTTATGGTCTTTTCGGATGGAGGCGCTTTTGACCTCTAGAGAAGTATGGACCTATGTAACTGATGACCCTCCTGACCCTGTAACTAATGCTTGGTCGAAAGGAGATGCAAAAGCCAGGGCGATAATTAATTTGGCAGTCAGCGACCAGCAAGTAGTCTATATAAGAAATAAGAAAACTGCCAAAGAAATGTGGGACAGTCTTGCAGCAGTGCATGTTAGAAAAGAGTCGGCGTCTGCATTGACCTTTTTCAAGCAGTTGTACCAGACGAAGTTGCAGCCTGGTGGAGATTTGGCAGCACACTTGAGACGTCTGGAGGCAATACGCGGCGAGTTAATTCGAAGGGACATGGAGATACCTGATATTCAGTATGTTTTTATCATCCTTTGTTCCCTTAATGAGGACTTTGATGGTATAGCTAGCCAGATATCTGCCGTTCCACCAGCACAATTAACTGTGGAAGGGGTAACGGCAAGATTAATGGGCGAGTTGGATAGAAGGGAGGCTTGTGCCATAAGCACTCCTGTTTCCAGAAAGAATGAGGAACGCCATATGCAAACCTGTGGTGATACAACTGCATTT